GAGGTGATTAAATGGTTTCGATGTTGTATATTTAAATGAATCTTTGTCTTGGTGAAAACGTGACTAGTTGGATTGACTATTTGGGTTGAAAATCTTCAGAAGAAGCTTATCAACTAGAATAAGAAAAATATTTGAATTTATATTTTACAGTTTTACACCATTAGATATTTTACGTAGAAAAAAAATTGCGTTGATTTCAGAACTTATACAAATGAATTTTCCATCTACATTGATATAGTTTGATATTGATGATTTTCTCCAAATGTGAATTTTTTATACTTATTTTTATCACACAGGAAGCTGCTCATTCATTCAGCACAAAAGTAATGCAGGCATCTATTGAGAAGTATAAAGTTGAAATTGAAAAGGTAAGTTAGGGCCTTAATTCGGTTTTATCCCCCAATAAATCTTAGCACGATCTTATTGGACATGCGGTGATCATATTGATAGTTTTACTTAATTATCGTCTTCACTGTTGTGTTTATGCAAATCTACGATAAGTAAGAAGCTACTATTTTCCGGTGCGCATTGCCTACTCAATTTATTAACCCCGTGGAAAAAGGGAATGCTCACGAATATTGTGTTTCTCGGCATATAACAGGACAATACATTTGAAATATTTATTAATTGAAAATTGAAGAACGGTCCCTACAACGCTGTTCCATATTTTGTTTTATACTTTGTTTAGTTTAGGCCTATGCGCAACGCGAAATTTTTTCCAACTAATGTCTGTTGTAGCTTGAGTCATTAAATATTTGCAATTGGTTAGTTATATTGTTCTAACATACTATTCTAATTTGTATATTAGAGTTGCAAGCAAGCTATCCAGGAGTGGAAACTGGCAAATTATCACGAGAAAGCAATAAAAAACGCAAAACGAAATTTTCAACAAAATGCAACATTCGGAAGTGATGATATCAAAATTAATTATTTGAGACAAACTGAATTAACCTGCAATGAGTATTTGTCAAAGATGAAGATTCAAAATTCGAGTTTATTGGTAAGATAAAAACAACATTCCGATTCCTTATGCTTTGAACTCAACATTGAGCCAACGATTAAAATACACGAGATAACACTTTTGCACCACTTTTCTATTATCCTAACCACTACTTTATTGTGACTTCATTCTGAAATCTTTTTACACACCACTAATCAAAATTTTATACCTTTGACATGTTGGTCGTTGCAAACAACGTTAAAAAGCTAAATACGTTTCCCTTAATCATTGTAGTTTGTTCATGTTATTTATCTCACTGTTTGCAGAGAAAACAAACTGAGGTCGTGTCAGGGGCTAAAGAAAGATGTCTGTCTGACTATCAAAGTAACATGAACAAGGTATCTTCTTAGTAGAAATCCCTTGGAATTTTATATTATTTTTTACTATTTTTTTTATATTTGCAAATAATGTTGACACATCAATTAAATCGTAACTGTTTTTTAGGAGCCAAGGTAATCTGATAAGTACAATATGTCATTTCAGAGTGCAGAAATTTATTACAAATAATCCTGTAGGTTTCAAAATGCAATACGCTGATACACGGTTTTGAAAGTCAGTTTGGGAAATAGATACTAAACTAAAAACATTAATGTTTCATATTGCATCCTATTTCTATTTGTTCTTGCTTTCAAATTATTCTATCTATTTTGGCGAAAATAAATTGCATAACTCTGATGTATTATCCGTACACTAAACACATATGCGCTTGAGTGCAAAGATTTTATTTGTGCGATTGACTGACATACAAAACAATTGATTAGCGATTTAGATCTAGTGCCATCTCGTGGAATAGAGATAAAATATTTATAATATAATAGTACAAATTATATTATTTCAGGTTTTCAGAGATGAAGCATTGTCTCATCGCGATCTTCAAATGTTTCATGACAAGCATCGTGAAGCAGCTCTGCAATTACTACGACGTGAAGTTGCATCTTTAATTTCTGATCATGATCAGATCTTGGAATATGAAAAGGCTTTTGAAAATAAAATAAACCAAAAATATCACGAGTTTCAATTGGAGAATCAGAGAAACCTCGACTTGAAAAAGGTGATATACCCTTCCAATCATTTACAGATAACAATTATTCTAGGAAACAATATCCGTAAATAATCTTTAATCTGATATTAAAAATTAGTACCAGTACAAAGTATACATATGAAATACGTGGACTGGAGTAATGGGTTCCTGTTAACCGCTATCATAACTCGTTTAAATTAAGAAGTAAAGATAAAAAAAAAGATGCTCAAATGTAATGGCACGAAATAATAAAAAAATGCCGACGACCACAAATCTGCAAAAGCCACGTCGTAGGTGGCCATGCTTGGCGACAATGTTCTCGTGAATTCAATAAAACAGATACCTTTCTGTTGAAAATCCACTAAAAAAGTACTAAAAAAAATTAAAAATTTCAAAATCGATTTTTTTATTAGTCACATTAAAATCCAATTTTTTAACAACAAAAATGTCGCCTCTAGAACCAATGCCATTTAGGAAAACAGCCCATGTGGCCACTTTATTCCAGTAAGCCCAGCAAAATCTGAGAATAAATCTTATTTTACGTCTTTAAAACACATCTCACATTAGATTATACTTTATTGCAGCGACAACAAGAATTGACTTTTAATGAACATGAACAGGCGGTAGAAGAATTTTTACAATCGATTTGTGGGGTAAGTTTTGGTTATTCATTAAGACAAAATATATTCGATTATATATATATAGAGCGTCCATCTAATATGGTTATTTGTCCAGGCTGGCTATTATATTTTCTAACCTAGATAAATAAATAGGGGTATGAGAGTGAACTCCTCATAATACAAAGAGTGTTCTCCAGTCTAAAGGGGGAGGGGGAGGCATATAGATATTCACTCAACTCAAGTTGGCCACTTATTTAAGACTCGGGGTATAAATTTAATGACTCGGGCACGTCATCAACAAACCGCCAGGGATACAAGGCTCAGTGATAGACGCGATTTTGGGTTCGCACTTGCAAATTGGATGGCCCGCTAATCGACTTGGCTTGCGATTCGGGGGTTACTTACAGTCCACCACTGTAACTTAATAGGCGTTGAGTTGTTATTATTATAGTTATTATCATAGTATAATTTTTTGTTAATACACAGTATTCTCAAAGTGACCCGGCAGAGTGGGAAAGACACATGAAACATCAATTTAATTGAAACTAATAGAAAAACATGAAACGGTATGTATATATAATTCTATTTTACACTAGTGTTACAGTGACTTTTCTTCTTTGTTAATGATAATGCAAGCATATATATATAAAATTTCAGTTCAACTCCTCGACGCAAACAAGTTAATTGAAGTGATGGAGTGGTCGAACTTTCTCTTCCATTCATGTGGACACTGCTCACCAAGATGATATGAGAATAAACTATATATATATGTTATAATTTCAAACAGATAATTTTAAACAACTAAATTTCACAAGTTTAAGCCCTAAACAATCTCATATTGGTGCACGTAACAGGTAGTTTACCCGTTTTGCGCATTTAACATTCCTCCAAGCGCTGAAGCGTTAATCTAATTGAATTTCTATTGGTTCTCCGACACACCCACCCCTTTTTTAAAGCAAGGTCACGAGAACACATTAAAATAAAAATAAAGAGAATACCTGAGCGATAACTGAAGTGTAAAAAACAACAGACACTATAAAGAAATATAGAAATATAAACTACGTGTTAACAAATTCCAATTGACGTAAGCATATTATGCAGTTAAAGTTATAACAGCTGTAAAACAGGTATAATGTGTGCTACGAAACTTGAAAAACTTCCGGCTTAGAGTTATTGTTTTCTGGATAGAATTCCGTCGATAACATATGAAAGCCTATAATCAATTGAATGTTATAAGCTGATAATAGTTTGTACTTACAAATGTTGAACGTTTCGAAAAAAATACACTTAATTTTTACATCTGTGCATATACCATGCAACAACTAGACAAAATATTAAGCTGAATTTTTGATCAAGTCATTTGCTACATTTTTTTTTATCTATCATTGTTCGTGCAGTTTATATTATTAAATTTAACTTTGGAAATTAAATTATGTTTCCCCCCCCCCCCCCCCCCCCAAACTGCGGTCACTAATAATTAAGTAGCTATGCTATTCGGAAACGGTTAAATATTTTTATTCTGAATTTGGCATTGCCTACCCAATTATTCACATTCCGGGAAAAATGATAAACATTTCTTTCAAACTATGGATCGTAAAATCAGTGGTGTCAAAATTGCAAGATTTAATACTCTTCTCACTGGCCCCATGTTGTCGGCTTTTCTATAAATTCGTTCATTCTTTCCAGCAGCTTAACATCTGAATGCAGCTCATTTTACTTTTCGATTAAAAATAGTTTTATTATTTTGCGTTGATTGTATTTTATAAGACTTTATATACAGAAATATGTATACCTTAAACTACAATTTGTGCATAAGCTCAACTTTAAAAACATCTTTTCTTACATTGATACTGTTTGTATATTATTTTTACGGCGCTCAAGAAGTATGTGTACTAATATCGTGGTACTAATTTTGTTCACCTATTTTACTTTAACTTGTGTAAAATGACCGAGATCTAAATGCAGGGGGATATTCACTCGGTTAACATAGACAGTCCCCGAACTTGTAATAGAAAGAAATAGAGAAAATCGGAAAAAAAATTATGACCCCGTGTTGTCGGCTTTTCTATAAATTCGTTCACTCTATTATGCAGCTTTACATCTGAATGCACCTCATTTTACTTATTCTTTTCGAATAAGTTAATTTTCTTCTTTTTCGTTGATTTTATAAGACTTTATATACATAAATATGTATACCTTAAAACTACAATTAGTTTATAAGCTTAACTTTAAAAACATCTTTTTTCTATTTATACTTTTTGTATATTGTTTTTACGGCGCTCCAGTAGTACATGTACCAATATGGAGATAACTGATTTTGTTCACCTATTTTAAATCAATTTGTGTAAAGGGACTGAAACTTATGGACAGGAGGTATATTCACTTGGCTAACACAGACAGTCCAGACTAGTAATAGAACTAAAATAAGGAAACTCGGAATAAAATTAAGGCATAATCCCAACCTGGTACACATACTACGGGAGCTCCGTTTTCATTGTACATAACTTCTATTTCAATTTATATAATCCATAGCATATTTTCCAACATTTCACATGAGTTTAAAAGTCATAATATCTGCATAGTTGACGTTCAAATTTTTTCTCCGAACATAGGTTAAATTGGTCACGGTTATGTAGTGAGGTATTACGCAATATTCTGCTACGCAATATTCTTTGCGATCTAACTTATATTATTGTTTTCAGTTTCCAGGTTTCCTTTTATATATTCTAGTATTGCTAGAAGTTTTCTTGGATTTGTGAACATTCAGTTGACGTTAAGTACAAGCAGGGGTTTGATCAAATTCTACGACTTTGCAAACTTCAGTTTTTGCTTTTAATAGGTATGTAATTTTAAAGTAAATTCACCACAATCATCTCTTACAATTACCTCACTTAATTCGACTAATTGCAATTCTAAAATATGGTTGCTGATGTTCAATAAATACAAATATCTACAGCTATCAAAAGCTGCATGAAAAGATTTTTTGCTTTACATATGTGTCTTTGGGCAAGCTCAATGGCACTTAGCTGATGAATGCTTAACTGATATTAAATTGCTAATATTCTCCATTTTCTTTCAAAGGCTTCCCATATAACTCTATCATTCACAATATTGAAGCTCACTAATTTTTTTTGTTAACCATACTCACTTTATTTCATATAGAAATGGAACCCGTAGCTATTGCCCGAATAACAGATCAGGGAAAATTTATTGTTGATGATGATAAACTGGTTGAAATATTCGGGTCACTTGAAGATAAAGATCTATCAATCATTTCTGTCGCTGGTTCATACAGAACTGGGAAATCGTTCATGCTGAACTTTTTTATTCGATATCTTCGTGAACACGGGGTGAGTGCAAATACGTACTTTGACTATAAGAAAAATAATCACAAAATGTTTTGCAAAATTCGTATTAAAAAAAATAAATTTACCCATGTAGTGAAGGAAAAACTGCAAAAGTTTCACTTTAATTAATTTTAATTGTATTCAAGTGGGAAAATAGCAATTGGCTAGGATCTGATGATAAAAAATTACAAGATGGTTTTGATTGGAAACGAGGTTCAGATCCTCATACAAAGGGAATCAATGTTTGGCCAGAAGTATTTGACGTTCCTTTGGAAAATGGAAAAAAGGTAGATTAACAATTAAAATAATATATTGGTTTTATGATATTTTAACCTTTAGTTATCACACATTTTTAATGAATGATTAATTAAATTAAATATTTTTTTTTGTCTTTAAATGAGCATGATATATTTAGTTGTTTTAAAATGTTATAAAATTCGAACCATCCCCAATAGAATATCTACAATCGAGAAAATTCAAATTTGCCTTGATCTTCTATGCCTAAGTATGTTAAGGATTATTTTAATTAACAATGTCGGATAACATAGAACCCCGTCCAAATCCTGATTCTGTATCTATTGCCATTGAAAGAAACAATTTTAATATCCTCTTAGCTTATCCCTTTTTCCAATTTCCAAGACTTCATGTATATATAATAATAAATTAAAGGGCATTTTTGAATAACCAGCATGATAAATGTGGTTTTGTGTAGCAAATGCGTTTTATTTAATCATTTTATCATTTATGAACAGGTTTCAGTGATGATTGTAGACACTCAAGGTCTGTTTGACAATGATAACACGCCAGATACCAATGCTAAAATCATGTCAATCAGCACTTTACTTTGCTCGCATCAAATCTTGAATATCCAAAACCGTCTTCAGGAAAGAGATCTGGAACATTTGCAGGTAAATTAAAGAAAATGAGGTACTCCCGAAATACGTGAACCAAGATGGCGGACACCGAAAAAGTATGTGTACCAGGTTAGGGTTAGGCCATAGTTTCAGGTATGAATATTACGGGAGTCACTTGTCTAGACCCCGAACTCGTAATAGAACTAATATAAGTAAAATTGGAATAAAATTATATCCTACCCTAACCCGGTACACATAATACGTTCCGGTGCCCGCCATCTTGGTTCACAACATACTTCGGGAATGCCGTAAATTGTGCTTTAGATAAACGGAAGTAAATTAGAAGATGGTTATCCCGTATGGCTTCCGATAATTTGAACCTTATGAAAATTATCGTCCACAAAGTAGTACAACTTCTCGTTGTCAAGTATTCACTACGGTGGTTCATGTGACCACTTATCAAGCATAGGTTTATTCGAAATCTTATTATCTACCAGTACATTTTACATGATTGAATACAATTTTTACAAACATCTGTCTGCAATATCTAACGAGTTCTGACGTTTCATATTCATTCAAGAAAAGATGAAAGCTGCTGAAACAGCTAACTCTCTAACTCAATTAACTCCAGTGGATCATGTCCTCTCGACCTGTTCCCAATTCAGATTTAATATTTCATTTTTTGATTTGTTATTTCTGTAAATATTCAGCTTTCTGTAGAATACGCCTGCGCTGCTGTTGGCCTCCAGGGAGAAAAAGATAAAAGAGGGAAACAAAGAACAACCTTTCAGGTCTGATAAAATTCTTATATTTTCATTGTTTATGTAATTCTCCACAAACATTTATAAAACTAATACAGCCTCATAAAATATCCCACATTTATTTTCATTACCATCGTTCTGCTCAGACGATGTAACATACTATCAAACATTCTTCAGAAAATATCACATGATATGGCGATATAAAGATTGAACAAAACAAGTTTTGAACTCCATATACTCCAATGTATAGTTTAGTAAACTACACACTATTCATTACCATATTATATTGATAATTTGATATACTTGATATTTTATTGACTAGCTAATCGTTGAAGTTTGTGATTCTTTTTGATAGAAATTGACATTTCTGATACGAGACTGGGTTAACGATGACGAATACCCATATGGGAATGGAGGAGACAAGTACTTGGATAAAATATTAAAAGCGAAATCAAAATCAAAAACCGTAAATGATGTGAAGGAGTCTGTGCATCGCGCTTTTAACGAAGTCAAAGGCTTCCTCATGCCGCCACCAGGAAAAAAGGTTTCCAAAGGAGAAAAGTCAACCCTTACAAATAGAGGTGAGATTTTGTACTTGCTATGTAGACTATGTTTTTCATTAGTTAAACTTTATTTAGTTCTACTTTTTTTCCAATTTCATGCCAAGATAAGCAATCGTATAGGCTAAACGGTATGTGTCACATGTCTAAAACAAGAGAAAATTATCTTAGAGTAGATAACGTGAAGAATCATTAGCAATGAAATGATATTGTATAGTGTAATACTCAATATATCAGTAAGTCATCAGTGTTATTTAATGATATTTCATATCATTCTTACTCAAAATGATAACTTTCTGCGTTTTCACTCAAGATATCAAACAAATTTTCCGTGATTACACAATGCAACTAACTGAAGCTACATTGCATCCAAGAAATCTGATTATGAAACAAATGTTTGGGAAGCCTATCTCTGCTAGTGCGTTGATGAATCTTCTTGCAGCAGTCAGTAATTCATTTAGAGATGGAAAGCTTCCAGAAATCGGGACAATGCTCGAAGTATGCTTTACAGTAAATAGACTTTAATAAAAAAGAAATACATGATCCACAACACAATTGAACATCATTAAAGTGAATGTATTTAATCTAAAATATGAAAAAAAAACATTTTAAACCTAACAGATTGACTCAAAGCAAACAACTTAAATGATGCTGTTTACCACCAAGCATTTGCCATGAGCTAACTTTTTAGAATATCACTTGTAATCCATTAATAGTAAATGTTTTTTTCTATAAAAACTGATATAATTAAACAACACTCTCTTACCTGTCATTTATGCAATACAAATAATACCTAAAAGGTAATCAAGTGTTTATAAAGTCGTGCATAGTACTTCTGTTACGTAATCCAAACTGAGCAAATGTATGAAACTATAAATATTGCTAAATTCATAATCTTTCAGAACACAGTTCGAGCCAATAATGATGAAGCTGTTCAAAGCGCTGTACGCCGATACAAAGAAAAGATGGCAGAAGTAAGATAAATGTTTGAGAATTCTATGTCAACCAATCACAAATATAAATAAAAATACAATTGGTGACTGTTCCCTCGTTTTTAGCTTGTTCAAGGCGAAATTTCCACACCTGATGTTCTTCGTGATTTTCACAAGAATGCAGTTGGCGAAGCCACGATAACATTTTATGAAATATCAACATTGGGAGAAGAGAGTGATAGAGATAAAGCACATCAACATGCAATAAAAGAATGTGAAGACTATTACAGAATTGTGGAGCAGGAGAATGAAACAAGAAAGGTGCTTCGAACTTCGATTTTCATACCTTATTTTTTCAGAAAATAGGTCCTAGTGAATCGAGTATGTTATGCAGACTTACTTTCTTTCATATTTAATTTTTTTACTTTTGTGTGGATTTACTGTTGTAATACAGTATATGGATAACTTCGATCTACTTTTGAAAACACATGCGGCATTGTGAGGTCATATAACGTCAATTGATAACATTAACCGGAACTGAATTAGTATTCAATGAACTATGTTATACTATTTTTCATACGTAATATTCAGGTTCCTAAAATAAATTATAGCTTTTTTTTTGCCTATCGCATCACTCAAGTTGTAACAAATTGGTTACAAATTGTCGAAGAGAAACATTGGGGTATTTTCAAAAAATTAGAAACATGCGCTTGACTGACTGCCAGTACATAGCCATGTTATTTTTTCATCATTCCCTTTCACAGGTACAGAGATGAAGAATTATATCTTCCGTATAAATAGCAGTGGATTTTTAAGATTTCTTTATTAATTTTATTTAAAAGTATTTGATTTTGATTATAATTCTTTTGGTTATGATATAGTCCAAAGTAATAGAAGAAATCAACAACTTATCATCCGCCATGGAAACCCAGTACATGGTGACAATGAGAGATCATGTGAGTAGCGAATGAGGCGATAAACAATTAATATATTTATGATATGCTTTAGGTTATTTCCAATCTACTTTCATTGCGCGAAAAAAATAATACATTTAGCACGCGGTATACCATCTGAATGTCGTGTTTTTTATTAACCTTTAATCACGAATAAACAGTGCGATAAAGCAAGTTTTCAATTCAGGATCTCACAAAACTCTCAGAAGAAGATCTTGAAAGAATAAACATGACATTAGGTGAATCAATATTGCTGGAATTTAATAGGCAAACTGCAGATTACCTACAAGCAATGCCGAGTGAGGTCAAGAACAAACGTAAAATATTAGAACAACGTCTATCTACTCATTACGAAACGTTGGAAAAGGAGAGATTATATATTGAAAGAAAAAAAGAATTGGACCAGGTATGATGTATCGGGAAAATATTAATATTTTTAACTCTTTTTTAATTTCAAAGAGAATTTATCGATAACATATTTAGTTTGTTGGCCTCTAGTGGTGTATTACATGAAGTAAAAAATTAAACAATTACTGATTAAAATACAACAGACCTGGTTAAGATATATTTAGAACTGACTTAAGACATAACACAGTTGAAATTGTAAATGGACCTCATGGACACCCTGAATTAAAACGGACAATATCGAAACAAACGTCAATAAAAATATGACAATTTTATACAATTTAGATGAAACAACAACAAACAATTTGCATGCATGGATTTACCTAATTACTCGACTTCACCGCAATAGAGCATTTTACTGTCGATGTGGGTGAAATATGTAACTCACTAGTACAAGTTTAAATTTGCCTTAACTTGACTTTTTAGCTTTGAATAAAGTTAATCTTCTTGTAATGCATTAAAGGTATATAATAAGTTGAAAACATTTTAACATACATGCCGCAATATTTTTCAGCAAATAAATAAACTAAGAATCAATCAAGTAGCAAATGATGTTTTATCAGATATTCAGAACGCGTTGTCTCAGGTAAGTGTTCTGCTTAAGGCTTCCAATAATTAATACTCAAGAGCTAAATCTCTATGTTCTAAAATTAATAAGAATATCAAAGATATATGTATTTTATCATATTTCTTTTTTAGTATGCAAACGAATACTGCATGGACATTCAAAGTATTCAACAAACCAAGTACAAAAAATGCTTGGAACAGTATGATGCAATAACAAGGGAATATGATGACGTTACTACAGTGAAAGAGGCTCGTGACAAATTGATTGAGAACATGGAACAATATTTTGCGAATCATGTGAAGCCTGTCAACAAAAACAACAAGGTATTGAAAATCAAGAATTTGCAGATACATGTCATTTCCGAAATACCATTGTATAATTTGATGATGTTTAGGTTTTCAAATTACTTTTAATGTATACTATTTTTTCCTCAAATTCCCCTAATTTAATTTTCTATTTCTAACGTGTTTGAGATTATGGTCTAATCACTTTCTTCGAGTGTAACTTCAACTAAGTTTTCTGCTCTAAGCTGTCTGGAATCTGTTTTTAACATTCCTAAGTTCGTTGAGTATTTCATATATTATCAATAATATGGGGATGAAGTAAATTTGTGCTTAAAATTAGTTGTGTATGGTGGCCCATTGTTGCCACGCTTAAAATTAAAAAAAAATAAAAATTTAAAAACTTAAATAAAAGTAAAATAAAAAATAGTTGTGAAAAAACATTAAAAAAAAAAAAAAATAAAATGAAAAATAAATGAAAATAAAATGAAAAAAAAAAATTAAAAATAAAAACGAAAATAAAATAAAAACAAAATTATAAAAAAAAAAGCGTGAATAAAAAAAAATACAAAGGTTGACAACGATGGGCTGCCTCGCGGCCCATCGTTGTCACGCGTTTTTATTTTGAGAAAATTTGCTTCGGCTTGGGACCAACGTTGTCATGTATAATCCTACGCGCACAAACGTGTTCCCTGGGTTTGTCATTGACATGGTGGTCAATATAATATATTTTGAAATATCGCGGACATCGATCCAGAGTACTCAAGCTTCAACCATATCACGCATTGTCTCTTCTTAAAAAAATAAGCATTTCTTGTCTTTTTAATCCGTCTTTAACGTAACTCTTCACCGCAGCTTCCAACTGCTCATCATGTTTCCACTCGTCAGACATTTTTAGATATGATCTCAAATATCTGTATATCTGTAAGTCTTTTAAATAAACAATCAACATGTTATTAAAGTAGTAAATTTACTCTTGATATGAAACCATTAGGCCTTGGACGTTGCCAGAATATTCAAGCCTGTTTGTTGTCTACTTAAGATTATCACATCAGACATGCAGACATGTAACACAAGAGTGAGTTTGTTGGTTAATTTGAATATTGATGTCCAAACATTCAACTATTACGGTACTTGAATTTATTTAATCTCGCGCACGGTAGGTAGTCTATCTGTCTATAACAACATCTAAATTATAATTTATTTATCCCCAAAAATTTATTTTAAAGTTAGGTTTAAGGAGCACCATTATCAGCAAAAAAGTTTGACGCGCCATTAGCTGTACCGGTACCGTAGGTTACCGGTACCGTACCCTCGTGACAATTACAATAACCGGTACCATGCTGGTAAATAATATTACGCACAACCTGTAACTGGCTGCGCTCAATCCATCCCTCGATTCACTATATTCTATCGAGGGATGCACTATCCGTATCTCCCATTCGTTTCATGACTGATTGCATGGGTACAGGTACGGTCAAACGGTACCGGTATCGCAAGAGTGTCCGGACCATTGAAGTGTTTATACACCTCAGTGGTCCGGACAGCTGAGCAGCATTCTCCAATAAATTACCTTCTACACGTAAAAACAAATTTCCCGAATTTTCGTACTCAATTCTATATTCTCTTATCATTATTATAAATATATTACTTCTAGTTGAACTTGTAGCATGGGGAATTTATAGAACATTTTCGTTTTGAATTTATTGAATATTGCTCAAGAAAATCAGTAGTGAGTTAGAAACACAGGAAACACCGTTTGTGCGCGTAGGATTATGCATGACAACGTTGGTCCCAAGCCGAAGCAAATTTTCTCAAATAAAAACGCGTGACAACGATGGGCCACGAGGCGGCCCATCGTTGTCAACCTTGTATTTTTTTTTATTCACGTTTTTTTTTTTAGTTTTTTTTCAAAATTTTGTTTTTATTTTATTTTCGTTTTTTGTTTTTTGAATTTTTTTTTTGCATTTCATTTTTATTTTTTTTATTCATTTTTTTTATTATTTTTTTTTTATGTTTTTCCACAACAATTTTTTTATTTTACTTTTATTTTAAGTTTTCTATTTTATTTTTCATTTATTTTTTCAATTTTAAGCGTGACAACGATGGGCCACCATAGTTGTGATATGCCCGATGCAATTTCTACGTTTTCGTTGTATTTATATTTTTTGTTGTAGACGGTTTAAAATTCATAAAACTGGTTTATTGGGAATAGAACTGAAATACAAAGGCTTTTAATTTTGTTTTACATGCAGAGGGGTTTATAGATACCATATATTGCTTTAGCCATCACAGATGTATCAAATGAAGTAAAAATACTTAAACAATTACTTATTTGAATATACAACTAACCTGGTTAAGATATATTGAGAACTGACTTCATAACAAAATTGACATTGTAAAGGGACTTTTTTCAACTTTCAGAGACAATTAGAATTGAAATATCAACAGCACATTGAAGATGAATTGAATGAATATGATCGGCGGATGAAAGAGGTATTAAGCAATGATCCAGACCATATATAATGATTTACTTTCAGAACGAATCAATGACAAGCTGGAGTGGTATTTTCCAACATGAGATATGCATTATGCTTCAAATTCAAAATCTCAATGTCGAGCTTTCCACTTCCGCTTTCTACTTTAATTGGGAATTGCTAACAAGTTAAGTGTTCCAGATGCATGGACCTAGATAACGTAGCAAATCTTGATTGTCCGCTGAGCGAACTGTTGTTTGTATTTGGTATTACTTGGTTATATTATTTGGTGTTACATGTTATTCGTTTTTTTTTTTCAATGACTTTTCCAAGTTAGTGTCAAGTTATCTTTTCTAGTAAAATTGATAATTGTATTTTTTGATGAAGCTCAATACGAATTAAAAACTTTAACACTTTATCGTGTTTCATTAATTTTCACAGTAGATTTTTTAAGTCTCAAAGATCTCTAAACAAATATGATCTTGCGTGCAATGATTTTATTTTCCATTTGAAATTTTTCGTAAACAATGACATTTGATTTTATTCCAGATTACTTCAGATGGTAAATGGAAAAAGAATAATGATTTCTTACAATCACACAAAGAACACAAAGAAAAAGCTACCAAAGACTTCAATAGATTAATTGCAAATATGTAAGTTTAACTGGATGTAGACAAAATATGGTATGTTCAGCTGGGGCCGATAAGACAGCTTAATCATATGACGAAACAAGAAATCTTGTCTGATTACCAGTTCATGTCGGGTATGGGATTATTTAGCCAATTACTTGTTTCAGATGCATGGATTTAATGGTGGAGGAAGCCGTAACCGACCAGAATTACTCCACGACGGCGAGAATTCCAGCAATCCTCTCGCACACAATCAATCCCGCATGGGATTCGAACCTTCGAACCGACTCAGGATAATATTCAATGACGCGGTGGCATATTCCTAACGCCTTACACGATGCGCTACCCGCCGAACACACAACAGTCATTCATCAGTACTTACCAGAATACTTTGTACAATTCCATATAAAACATCATTGCATAGATACTTGTTTATGATTGGGAAACTTATCAGACGTTTAAATATTTTTCAGAAAACCATGTCTTCCAGATGAGGATGTGCAAAAATGCAAAGAAAAATTGAATCATAAAATGGAAGAGAGATTCAATGACATTCACAAGCAAAACAATGACAGAAACAGAAATTTGCAACAATTGAAGGAGGTAGAAAATTTTTAAATTTGAATTTAAAAAAAAATCAATACAAAACAATGACTATGATGCGTTTCTAACTTCAAATCCTAAAGTTTATTGAGTAAAATTTAATGTAATACACAGTTATACATTGTGTCCATAAAGTTCCTTTACAATTTCAATTTATTATGCAGTGAGTTCTCAATAAATCTTAACCAAGTTTGTTGTTTTCAATCAATAGTTGTTTAAGTAGTTTTACTTCATTTAATATATATCTGTGAGTCACAAAACAATATAAGGTATTATTAAATTCCCTTTGAAATTTTAAAAATTTTTAAGAGGGTATGTATATCCTGTATATCATAATTTCACGGCAAACATTAAATAATGAAAGGCACATACTGCATTGAACAAAATCATATATCTAATCTATCATTTCTAAAACGTTATCATAATTAAGAGGTGAGGCTGGTGATTATAACACGCGTACCATTCTGTATTCCTGTTGTCATATATATTTACTAACTTTCAAAAAATAATTAAAAATAGTGAATTAGCATTTTAGCTTATTTGCAGGAAATGAAATCAGGTCAATTTGTTCAGGAAGCATTTGGGATTTACGAAACGGGAATGGATAAGGTAAATAATATCAGTACGAAAATGTAAATTCAGTTATATGGAATCTTGACCGTTTGCCCAATTTTTTCCAACTAGGCTGCCCTGCTCCTAACTTGTTGAATGATGGTCCCAATATGCGTTTCATCAAAGCGTGTTAAATCGAGAAATTATTGAAAAGCAAGATAATGATTTATAAAGCATACTGATTGTTAATGGAGATTTTAGTGAAAAGATAATAGAAATCCCTAATCGGTAGGTTTTGGCAGTCCTGAATAATGTCGAATGTGTACAATAGGAAAAAATAATTGGTTACAATAACCTTTTTCATATGTGTCATGTGCTCTTGTACAAAGTTCGCTTGCTGAAACCACTTCAAATAAAAGTTATGAATAGCATTTCTTTTATGCAGTATAAATTATTTCAGCTTTTAACCAGTAGTGAAAGCTGCGATAATCTACAAACAGAAAACTCAAAATTTGAAAAGATGGCTGAAGACAAGTTCAAGGCTCTTTGTTACAGCATGTGAGTAGTCCATGATATCTTTTTTATAAAGCGCTTATGCTTTGAACAAGGCTATATAATTACAGCCACTGTCTCCGAACAATATGTAGCTGCTATTTAGAGGGACCGGGTTCGGCATGCCAATTCAATGTATTATACATTGTGTAAGCTGGGGGCGTTGTATGTCAACTCGAGATGTGTTATCTGGCAATACCGTTACGTTTAACGCTTTTGCCGCTAGCTCAGTGATTTGTTAACTACGCGCAGTGTGCGACAAGAGGTCATTTGGGGCAAGGCCATTTCATGGCTTTTTCGTTCTTTTTTTTTTCAAGTTATTGAAAATGGGGCTTAGACATCGTATTGCATCGTCTAAAAAACTAAATGTATATACATACGTAATTTACATAGTAAAAATCTATTACACAGGAAAGAAAACAAAGATTACACATACTAGCGCGAGAAGAAAATACTCTCATAAAAGTGCAAATATTAGCCAAACGACCACTGCTCAATTTATACAAAAATTTACTTAAATTTCATTGTTTTAAATATTTTTGCGTATGTTTTTTGCAGAGGTTGTGACACTACGAAAGGTCTTGGAAAACTAAAATTATTGATGGTTAAAAGATTTGATATATTCAAGAAAGTAAATGAAAACAACAAGGATGCAGCTTTCGAAAAAAAGGTAATTATAAATTGATTTTGTTTTGTTCAATCAACTCCAAATATCTATCATTATGGAGGCCTAACCTGCTTCTTGAGAATTACTCGCAAACAAAAGCATGAACTAGTCAGAGTTTATAACATGGGGGTTCGGTTAATAATACAAATAAAACAAGATAAATTTTATTTATCAGAACTTATTCGGTTCACCTGCTCAAAAATTACAAAAAGTTGTGGTATATATATATACTTGATGATGTTATGTTTTGAACTCAATGTTCAGTAAATTTCTATATAACTTTTACATTTTCTACTTCAGTAATGTTTTTAAATCCCTGTTGAATAGCTTAATTTTCTTCTAGCGTTTTTTGTGTTAAATCTGTAGATCTGATATTATATATGTTTAGAAAGTTGTGAGACAACGTTTTTTTTTCTTCAATTTTTAGAAACGCAAAGAAACAACGAAAGGGGTAAAAGATTACCGCGGCAGTATGGAAAGGGTAAATATCTTTATAAGAGTTATAAATTGGAATTAATCAAAAACTGAAAAGATCAATCTTATCGATAATTGTTTGTGAATGGTAAACCAATTTTTGTAAAGATTATTACATATAACGTTTTAATACTGTAGTTTCTAAAGTTAATATACCTTGGGCCAAAATTAGAAGCGGAAGGATATTCGCGCCCCGGAGATAACTGATAAACTAACTGATAACTAAAATACTGCCATATGCCGGTACGTATTATTAAGATACCGGTTTAGTTGGATTGTCACGAATATACACGTGCTTCAACTGTGATGATGACATAGCTAGGCTGTATCTAAAACGAAAAAGGTAAAGAGTATAGTTAAACTAAAAATGTTGAACTGATTTCTCAAGTTCGGCGGACCATATTAAATCGTTACACAGGGCTTAGATGGTTTGGGAATTATTGTTTTGATATTTAGTTTTGATGATATGAACAAATAATATTCAAGTCAATATCAGTATCAAACTTGCGTAACTTTATTTTGCATCATTCATTTGGTGTCTTTCAAAAACAGTTCTACTTATGCCACCTTTTTATTTCAGTACATATCTCAAAATTCTCCTCCTCCTCCGGACGACGAAGATCTCATAGAAAAGCACGAAGATCTCAAAGAGAAAGCAGTTGAAGACTTTCGCAATGCCTTGGGCAAAAACAAGTATGCTTTAAATATCCTAATAGGCTGCAGCATTTGTCTAAGATGTACGTAATAAAGTAAAAGAAAGTACGTAATTATGGGCCGGGAATGTTCAGTTTAGGGAGTCATTCAGTAAGAAACAAAATTAGTGGACACGGAGTAGACATATGTATCGTTCTTCTTGTCGTTAGAATTTTTCTTCCTATCGTTATGCTATCGTTATGAAAAAAAAACGCTTTTCTTATTAACTACACAGTCAATAGCTTTGAAATTTTCCAAGGTTAAACATAGAATGCTACTTTTGTTTATTTCTGTACTACTTCGTGTCCATATATTTGAGCATCGCTCTCTTGTTTTTAATTCAAATGAGTGTCTCCCTCGTTTTCTACTATTTTAAGCTTATCCCGAATTTATCCATTGGTACTTTTACTTTATTTCCACATTCTTAATTTTGCTGATAAGATATTCATGCTTCAACCGAACATTATCAAATATGAGATAGATTAGATTAGCATAATACTTAGATAGTATACAACTAAATTTTTCCGTTAGCAGTGGCAATTTATGATATAACTTCCATATACTGCTAATTATATGTCACAGTATAACCAATGAAGATAAGGAGGAATTGGAAAAACAAATAGAGGAACGGTTTTCAATATTCAAGAGTAAGAATAACACTGAAAAAGATAGACTGCAGCTTCAGCAACAAGAACACGTGTGTAAACATTTGTCCTATTTTTGACACACTAATTCCTATGTTGTTATTATTTTAATGAAGTTTTCCTCATTTACATATATCTTCTCTCTCTCTCTGTCTCTATCTGTCTGTCTCTGTCAATATCAAAAAATGAGTCGAATAAAAATGAACGAATAAATCATTGAAAAAAGACGATAATTGTAGTTTCTATTTTTATTTTCACATTTCCTTTGTATTTTAATATTTAAAACAGGAGACAAACAAATCTCAAGTTGAAAAGGCTAGACATGAAGCATACAATAAATTTGTGAGCAGTATGCGTAATGTAAGTATGACGAGTGTCAATGAAAATTTGTATGCCATAGTTTCAGAAATATATTTATATTTTTATTCTGTAAAAAGAGATATGAAAAAAGAATCGATTATTCATAAGTTTTTCACTGACATTATTTGCCACTATTCAGTCCCGACATGAATAGGTCTGTTTAGTTTTTCACAATTGCTTAATTAATTTAAAGTGTCAGTTTAAAATGTCATGGCGTAGCGTTATCAGACTATGACGTCGTTTATTTTTCTTTCATAATTTTAATAAACGACTTTAAGCAATATTGTAACTAAAATACGGTGTTCCATTTATAACACCATACTCATATCCCAGCCTACTCAAAGATATGTTTCTACAATCCAAAACTCGTGTACAAAGGAAAAAACAGAGGCAATAAAATTGTTTGATCAAACGACAGAATCTTTAAAGACAAAGATGTTCCAAATTGTGGAGAAGGAAAAGGACACACTGAGCAACGAGATTGATGAACATATCGTAATTGTAAAGCAAGGAAATGAAGAAAATAAGGTGTGTTTTAATTTTTTTAAAGTACCAGGTGCTTGTATTTGCTCTGTTCCCCGGAATTATGTTTGGATTACTCAGAGTTAAGTTTGCATTATCTTACTTTTGTTTTTGTTGAATGTTACTCATTTCCACAGATGTTGCACACTAACCCGAAAGTAAAACCCCCCCAAAAAAAAATTTTAATCTCGGATTTCCCCAAAAAATATTACTCAAGATGTATATATCTTTTTCATTTATTAGAAAAACATGGAACTCAAGCAGAAAAACTTTATTAATGGTCTGGCACAAGAGTATCAATCAAAAATGAACGAGGTAAGCATTACTCATTTTTTTGTACTTATTTTTCTGTACAAAGTTTTGGCCAATAAATTTTGATGTGATACTCAAGGGGCCCCAGCTCGATCATTGGGAGTCCACAGATAGAGTGAATTTAAATTATAATACAAAAATGAGGGTCCACATGAGTGATTTTAGCCTACGATGGTGTTGGATAACAATCAGCCACAAAGTTCTCACTAAAACTTTCACCGGTTATTTCACCAGTCTTTTTATCAATTTTGTTCAAGAATTGAAATCTTAAATTTATCAAAAAAATAAAAATTTTTGGGTAACGGTACCAGGAAACAAGCGATCAATACGATGACAAAACTGCCCGAATCTATGCGAGTTTTCTTATAGGAAATAATTGAATATTTGAAATTTTGAATAAACCTATCTTCGCCATACTAATTACAGTGCTTTGGTCATATAATATTTAAAATTCCTATCGAAACGAATATGCAAACTTAGTACCCGAACCAAATGAACTGAGAAGCTCAAACTCGACAAGCCAAGTCCACAGGTCCTTCCTGTCATTTCAAAATAGAATATGGTAACAATACTGAGTACACTAAAACTGAATAGTTATATTGAAATAGCAAATGATTTAACGTGGATTAGTATAATAAACACCTGGAGGTCCACACGAATTTGGATAACATTTTGGGGTTCCCTGTGATACTCCATTGTACAAACAAATATTAATATATTCATTGGAATAAAATATTTCAGTCTGTGAATAACAAATTGAAAAGGATGTTTTGAAATCTTGAAACTCCACCAACAAAAAATATAGCGCTGTATTAAAGTGAAAATTAAAATTAATAAAGAGTTTACAATTTACTAAAGCAATATGACCTTACTGAAATATTAGGATTGTTTTATAATCATTTAAAACGAGTTCATGAAAAGTTCTTATAGACACAAAACTGACATAACAGAAATAAATCCGGATTCAATTAGATTAACCTTGAATGTCACTCACTGCTCAATAGTCAGCTTAAGTTCTCCGCCGTTTCTCTTTAGCATTAAAATAAGTTTCACAATTTATTTATCTACATTTTGTATACTTTTGTTAATGTTAATGTTTTGTTAATTGAAAATAAACCAATTTAGTTCTGGTTTAAAATATTATTAAATTGACGAGAAACAAACTAATACTTTATAGGCTCTGAGTAATGTGGCAACAACTGAAGAAGCTCTGGACAGTTGCGAAAAACAATTTCTTGAAGAACAGGAGAGTAAACTTAAAGGCTATCCAGAATCGGTATCAATAGAAGCAGAAGAAAAAATAAAAGAAAAAACAGAAGAAGCTAAGCGACAAAATGAAGAGAATAAAAAACACAGGTCTGTCAAAGTTGAAGAAGAAGGTTTGGGATGGAAAATACTTAAAGGGTTTGGCAAAGCCGTGACTTACCCATTTCGAAAAATTGGTAAAGGAGTACAGACTGTTTGGAACTATATAACTAAATGAATTTGATTATCGATCGAAGAATGACAAGATTTTGTTTTCTCCTTATATAATTGAGGAGATCATGAAAATATGGCAGTCATATTAGATATGTTGTAGAAAGTTGCTTGATTTTGATTATTAATTGTGTACATACGTATATTCGTGTATTCTTGCATAAAAAAGATAGGCATTATGTGTTTTTGTTGTTTTTCGGCCAGTCTGATTCATTGATGGCATAAAAAAATTTAGACGCAGATTGTTTGGGCCAAAAAGAATAGTTTTAGTTCAGTGGATATACTGTGATTTTGAATAACATGAATTCAGTGAAAAATTGATTCAGTAAATTTTCTCATGAACATTCACCAGTAATTGTATTGTGACATCTCACAACACTGCAATATTTCCATTTACATTTCGATAAAATTCAGTGGCTTCGTTTTGTAATTCTTATTACTTTCCACTATAGCATTTGTTGTATTGTCAAATGGGGCATTTGAATAACACATTGATGCTAGAATTCAGAATTCATTTTTATCAATAATAGTTGCTACTAGAGTTTCAGCATGTTTAATTAACAATTCTATAACGTATAGTAATAAAACATATTAACAGGAGTTTGATTTTTCTTGTACAGTTTTCTTGCTGGTTTGAAAAAGACCTGATATATAAAGATATGCAAGGACATACAGACAGTAGCATGCAATAATTAAAAATGAGCGGCTAATTCATGTGCATACACAGCCATTCGTCATGTGCTTAATATCTGAAATATATATATTTGAATTACAACGCTCCAAAAGAAACTATGCTCTTTTAGATTTGAAGAAAATCACTTTTGCACATTTGTAAGCAAAACTGATTAGAGTTATTAATAATAGATCGTTCACCATGATCGGATTTTGTCAGCAAAGATTCGATATTCTCTAAAATATTAATTAATATATAATTTCTTCCCTTTGCAATTATAGCACAATCGTGCTCCGGTTGCGAAAAAGTCAAAGTTCATTGACTTGTAGGTTTGCATAAGGTCAATCGCATCCTACATGCAAAAAATTAAACAATGCTGTGGCGTGAGACCAGGATATAAATATTCGGTGCTGTAGAAAATAATCGGAAATTTACTGACACTTTCATGTCTTGCATGTGTTTTAACAAGAGATGACGACATATCGAAACACGTGAAATCTCCAGCGATTGTACCCATAAAGTGAACTAGTAACAGCGCGATCTTGTAGTAGTCGGAAGTGTCGCCCACAACAACGCAAAATTTCAGACCTATAAAAAATGCCCAATAACATAAGATTTCAATCAAAAAGTTATTCTACAGTTTTATTCCTAATATCAATACAAGTATAATAATAAAAACACGAAAATTAATATAATAACTGGTCAAATAGGTTTTAATTGTAACTAATAAATGTTTTAATACACGGATATTCTAAGACAGGAATATCGAACAGGACGCTTCAGATCTTCATAAAGACGATTCGAAACCTCGAAAATATTTAAACCCCTTACTCTTGTATTCATGTCAATTAAGTTTAAGAAAATTTGACGGTTTTCGCGAAACGACATAATCAATTAATGATAAATTTTAAAATAAAAGTTGAATTTTAAGATCTGATGCGTTTGGAATAATATGGAGATGCACTGGTATTCAAGTGATTACATGAAAATGCCCCCACCCTACTTCTATAAAACATAATATCTATAATCAGTGCGGTAAAAGGCCCCGATATAGAAAGAAAAGAATTTGAATATCACAATATCAATAAAACTCAATAAATGCAATTAACATGACAAATAAAATATTAAATAAAAAAGTCGCAATTTTAAATCTCATTCGTTATTGAAAACGGTGTAAATGCGCAATCGTAGTCGGATTATTTAAGAGGTGCAAGTGCATTATAGAAAGATAAAACAAAAAAAAACGAGAGGTCGGTTGATGTCAATGGTAGTTATTTTGAATTTGGGACAAATTTTTGTCAGAAAATCTAAAAAAAAAGCTAAAAATCCTTTTTCATTACAATTTGGGACCTCCTGAAGTATGCGCACCAAGATGGCGCACAACCTGAACTCAGGTTGTGTACCAGGTTAGGGTTCAAGTTATGCGACATCTTGCTGCGCATACTTCAGGAGTACCACAATTAGATATAATATCGAAAGATCTTACGTTTCAAAAAAGCAAACAATGCTAATTTAGAAGCAGGATATGACGATTGAAAAAACACCAACGCTGTAAAAAGTAATCAGAAAATAGAAAGATAAAATTGAATGAAGAAATTTAAATTAGATATATTCGGTTAGATTAATGGAGTTATTTTAAATTATCGCTCAAAATTTTGTTAGAAAAGGTAGAGAACATTTCGTTCATTACATTTTAACATAATATAAAAATATATTACGTTTCAAAATAGCAAAAAATTTTCGTCTAAAATCAGGATATGCCGTTTCAAAAAAAAACTTTATTGTAAAAAGTGATCGCAAAATTTTAGAGCATCTCCATCTCATGCATGTGGATGAATAATATGTAATATGACCGTAGGCGTATTATAAATCCCCATATGCTGTTAGTAATATTGTTCACGAGATGTAACGACAGACCGCATCCAGTACAATAGCCTATCAATCTTATCTGAGAAAGTATTAGCGACGTTGAATAAAAATTGTTGGATTTTGCATTTTCTTGGCCAACAATATCGCCTAAATTAAGTAAAGTTTGCGAACATGGTCGCATCGCTAATCAAATCGTAAATAAGTTGAAAGCGACATATTTGACAAACAAAAATATAAAATATAATAACTAATCAGATACTTTTTTATACAAGAACGATAATAATAATCTTATGCAGATATATCGGAATCAAGACTACCAATCATTATGAAATCGAATTTGTTTTCATACTTCATCGCTTAAAGGCCATGAATAAACAAAGCGATCTGACCAAAATCCCATCGGTCGGCCTTATAGAAAGCAGAATGAAATTTCACTTTTACAGTCGAGGTAGGGCAGGAAATAATTTACGTTTCAGAGTCAAATATTTGCAGAAACAAAGCGTATACTTTTCATAGGAATGTAATCGGGTTCGGGTTTTTCCAGATTCACGACTTCATATCCACCCTGAATCGATGATGCCATGGCAGGTTGTGGCGATGCCTGGTTGTTCTTTGGACGTGACGCATATCGCGTTGTATCATTCGGTATCGTGATTTGCGGTGTTGCTCCTGCTCCGGTTCTGGGTAATTGATTATTCACTTCTTTGTGAAGGAGGGTAGAAGGCGGAACTGGTAATGGGCGGTTTAAAGTACATGTATTGATTTGATCTTGTCCCTCTTGTGCTCGCCGATTTCTGAAGAAAACAAAATGCATTTGTGTGTGTTTATTATTTTTGATAAATTTGAAACACAAGATTGAATCATTTTCACAATTTATTATTGTACGTTCGCTTAGTTCTACTCTCATTTTGTTTCATAAAACTCATCGGATGTAGGAAACGTTTAATGCTAATTCTAAAACAAATCTATTTAAAAAAAATAATTAAATGAGTTAAAGCTCCGGGATAAAAAATAAATATCAATTAATTGCACAAAAATAATAATTGGAAGTAATATGTTAAAATTAATACTTTTAGAATCACCTATTTTCCCAATAAAAATACGCTTTGCATGCCGTGATTTGTAGAATGAATACCAGAACAAACCCCGCCGGCGATTAATCCAATTGTTTGTGGAGAAATCGTCATGGTAATCCTCGATTGCTTGCGGAGTTAATGCATGCCGAGTAACCGTACTTGTTATGCTGTAATGACTGAAAGGTGTTTTAATTTTCCCAGCTGTTTCAGCGACTGTTTTCGTTGGCTGGTAGGTTGTAGATTGCGCAGTATCCAGGGATTCGATTCTTTTCCCTAAAGAAAATAAGTTAGTTTATTTAACATTGAATATTTGAATATAAGTAACAAGCACATTGGTGGCTTATAATACAACATTCTTTCAATGGTAAAGATGATTCACAGCGAGTTTCGAAATAGCATCATTAATAGTTTATTAACAATGAATGCTTTACACCATCAACAATGTATTTCGTGACTTATTTCCTCGATTTTATAATTCAATAGTCTTTCAATAGCAATAAGATCCACAACGAGTTTCGACAAGTTGTCATTGATATCCGTCTCACTTTAAGCGCATCTAAATATATCGTTACAAGCTATCATTCATATTGCCATTTCCGGATAATATTAGATCCAAGAATGATGCTCCAGGCACCATAAACCTTTTTAAATTTGAATGAAATTGGCGTAAATATTAATGATGACAGGAAAGTATATAAACTTCACGAAATTTACGATTAAGCAGCGATCCCCCCAAAAAATGTGACAAATATGAAAGAAATAACATTCTGGTAGACCTATTAATTCAATAAGATTTTTAGAAGAGAACGGTAAAAAATGTATTTTTGTGTGAACAAAAAGACAGCAACAAGAGCAAGAACAATTCAACAAAATCATCCAAAAAAACGTCTGATAGTTCTACTATACCTGTTATGCAATCGATATATTCGTAGCTCAAGTTGAATTGTGCTTTTGATGGTTCGCATTTGTACCCAACGATTGTACGAGAAACATTGATGCCCCAATCTCTGGTCTCGCATCCTGATTGCTTGATTTTTTCCAAGCAGAGATCAGAGTTGTACGTTACCCAACATATTTCGTCGTCGATAGAATCGAAATTAATGTTATCTCTCCAACAACCTTAATACGAAGAAAAACCAATATAACCTTATAGAACACTTCGAATATCAATTTCATATATTTAAGATTGGATTAATAATCATCAGCACACGGCGTTTATGGCAAGATGATTTGACATGATTTTATTTCAGCGTGGTGGTCTTGACAGAAAATTTAATGACGTTTAATTTATACAATACAATTTTAATACTTACAACATAAAGGTAATATATTTGAACATATATCATCAATCAGAGAAGTTTAGTTTTTACAGTTTAATTTTAATAACCATGACGTCTATAACAACTATTACTTACAGTCGCCACCCATCCGTACCAGGTTAGTCTCTGTTTGAATAAGATTAGTTGTGAAATTCATTCGAAACATGATATGGGGTAGATCAGTTGGAAAATAAAACCACCATGAACAATAGTCCCAAATAGATAGACATTCTGCTTCTTCTGTTGGAGATTCCACTTGCCCGCTCAAATCAAATGTATTATCAGTGTTCCTGCACTCTTTTCCTTCAACAGCTGATATATCTGAGATAATACATATTTTGAATCACGTACAATTTGCACTTAATTCAATATAAGTATAGTTCATTTGCAACAGATTTTAAAAATCAACTTGAAATGGTGAACAAACCTAGTTTCATTTTGTAGTAAAATTATATCGTATTATTATTTTTCTCTTCTACGCCATTTTTTTTTATCTTTACTAAATGTGTTTTAACACTTGTGCCCCGTCATGAATGAAACAGCATAAGACATATCTCACCTGTGCATAGCAATATAATCACGAACAAGAAAATTCGATTCATTTTCGTGAAATATTCCTTTACTTTTCGCTT